TCCCTATAGATAAATAATTATTTTGCATATTTACCACCACTTGTAGATACAGAATACCCAGGAACCGCAAGTTGTCGTTGACGAAACGAAACACTTCATCGGGAAAAATAACATCAACCTGTAGCCAATCTGCATACCTAGACAAGAAATTTCTGTCTTTCCTCCCAGCAGCTTTCCATTTTGTTAAATATTGCGGAAAAAACGATTGCCTCATGAAGTTATTGAGAGCGTTAGTTGCATGTTCATCTCCGTTTGTTTCAAAATGATCTTTTAAAAAGTCCAAAACATGAATTTTCTCCACAGAGAAATCTTGGCAAGGTATTTCCATCATTTTCTCATGTAGATGCAGACGTTAGTTGTAGATTAACTGCCATCATGAATAAATACCAAGAATAAACCCACACGCTTTAAAACAATATATTTCTTGACTTACAACACCGCAAAATATCGCAAACTAAACTTATGACTACACTGAACACCATATAATAAAAAACTAAATACTGGCCGCCCGGCCGCGTGTAAACATGTTTGGAACTCAGCGCAAATGAATCCATATTGCAGCCTGATGCGCACCTTGGCGCAGGTAAGTCAAAATGTTCCTAAATTCCTTAGATTATAGGCTTTTATTTAATGTATAATTTATTGATGAGCAAGGACTAGCAATAAACATAAAAGGCCAATAAAATGACATTTCTTCAAAAACTGTATTGGGTTATAGGCAGCCAATTATACCTGAAAGGAAAAGCGACCTTCATTATAGTATTTAGGTTATTTAAATCCTTAAAATATGTACTTTTTCCTGATATAATTACATTTCCATGAAAAATTCGACCTGCAACGGCTAACGCCGAAGCAAAAGGAAACATTTTAATGCCAAAATATGCTGTATAAAATTATTATTTTTTTAGCTTTTGCTCATAAAGATCTTCAGTCATGATAAAGCCATTAAAGCAATGCTTGGTTAAAAGTTGTAAAATGACGTAAAGAAACATATACATAAGTTTGACGATTCTCAAATAAACTAAAAATTTTCAATTTTGATCGTTTTTTTGCAAATTTTGAACACTGTGCGCCGTCGCGCCGCAGCGTGGCCCTTCCTTGAAAAACAAAGCTGGAGCAATATTGCGAATGTTACATCATTGTCATAAGATTAGTCAGTTAAGAATGTTAAGATCGACTTTCGAACTGTTTACGTACTTTTAAGCGGAATAAAACGTATTTTTGAGGAATATAGTGGTTTAATTTAAGTAAAAAGACTAATTATCTGTCCCTAATCTAACATTTATGTTAATTTATTGTAGATACATGTTGAATAAAATATTATGTAAATAACTATAATAAACAATAAAAAAATAAACGCATCAAAGACATAAAAACACACATATCAAAACATCAACTTAAATAAAATTAAATTTTGTGGTACCTTGTACAGGTTGTCCCATTTTTAATAAACAATAAAAAAAATAAACGCATCAAAGACATAAAGCACACATATCAAAACATCAACTTAAATAAAATCAAATTTTGTGGTACTTTGTACAGGTTGTCCCATTTTTGTGTGTTTTGCAGGGTTTACCGTTTATGAGCAGCGCAGCGATACAAAGATACGGTTTTCACAGTTGCTACTTATTTATGAAACTAAAGATGGTAAACACATATTTGATGCTGGTGTTAAAAATTTACGATAAAAATATATTAAAAAAAGACTTAAATATTATCTAAAAAGACTTAAATCTCATAAAAGATTTAAGTCTTTTGTGTGACTTAAGTCATTAAAAAAAAGGTTTAAATATGTTTTAATGACTTAGCTCTTTTCTAAAAAAAACTTAAATCTTTTTTAATCACTTAAATCTATTTCGGAATAAATACATATAATTCTCAGTCATTTCGAAAATGACTTAAATTTGAAGTTTTTAAGTCAGCTTTCGAAATATGACTTGAAATCAAATGATTTAAGTCAAAAAAATACTTTTTTATGTTTTCTGTAAACTTGCAGCTCTGGTTACAATCGACCCATAATTAAAAAATTGGCGCCGGGAGGCACGTATAGCCGCCCATACTAAAATATGTTAATAAAAAGTTGGTAGGCAATTCTTTTAGTTCCAAAGTAAAGGAATTTTTCCAATTTTAGTCCGCGCTTATTTACTCTACCCGCCACCTGGGGTCGCGTCCGATGGGAGTTTGGAGTTCTCCACACGGATTTTCTCAAAAACGGACTACGGAAACACGGAATATCTCAAAAACTGCGACTTTGACTGATTTTGATGTTATTAAAAATGTTGTTGCAAATATTATTCCTAATCTTAAATTGTAAACCGCGTTTCGCTAGCTACTGTAATTTTGGAGCTACGATTTTTTAAAATTTTTAACCCCCTCCCTTACACCCTTACCAACCCCCCATCCCAACCAAAAACTAAAGGCCAGATTCTCGGGTGCCACAGTATTTTTGTGCCAAATTTAGTTAATATCGGTTTAGCGGTTTTTGAGTTATCGTGTTACAGACGGACAAACAGACAGACAGGCAGACACCATAAAAATATTTTGTATTTGGTGTCATAAATGACCCAAATATCTTATTTTGAGTGAAATTAAAAAAAAACTTTTTTTTTGTCGATCTTAATAGCCTATCATACCTGTTGGTATGGTCGGCTAAAAAAATCCTGTTGATCTCGTCCATTTAGAGGCATCGGTTCGAAACGCCGAGGGCGTCATTCTGTAGCCCGTACCCAATTATGCCGAAATCGACACACACTTTCTTCAATATCAAATATTTAGTCTCAATCTGATGAAGATATAAACGAAACGTCGTATCAAACTTTGCAGGGTGGGACCGTGTACATGCACCATCGCCACTCACATAGCCTACCCACTAAGTTTGGTCGCGATCGGAATACATCAACTTTTGACGTTTCTTACGTGAAAACTAACTGTCACATTGACACGTGTCGTATACGGTCAAATTGGCCTTGGTCCAATCTATCAACATACCAAATTCCATTTGAATCGAATGATTTTTTGATGATGGGGTTTCGTAGCGCACAAAACGTTGTCAAAATATCATGAAAAGATGGGGCAAAAATCACCCGGCCGGATAGCCCTGACTGACTTTATCTCTATTTTGTGTGGTCTGTTTTTCTTTAAATCTTTTATTCTTTATTCATGTTGGGAATTTATTTTTAAATTAATGTTAATCGTTAGGAAACCAACTCAAAGAATATGTATTTTTTTGCATAATCAAAATTGTTACTCTATCGCTGTCTTTTTTAGACAAATGTTGCTTGTCATTATTCAATTCATTATTCGAAATTTTCAGAATGTTGTTAACAAAAGTTTCATCTTAAAATTTTAATAAAGCACAATTGTTTATCTCCATCATTTACTGGACTAATAATACAGAAATTACAACTCAATTACAAACAACTCATTTTTTATAGTGATTTAGAGTAATTTTATTAAATTATACGAATATTCTCGTTCATTATTGGATTAAAATAAATATGACAATGTCCTCCAATGAAAATGCGAGTTACTAACTCTAAATTAAAATTCTGAGCCGGCAAATGAGGTAGGGGGTTTACATAGACCGTTATTCAAAAGCTACAAACATATCGATGAAAATATGTATGAAAATTTACTTCCTAGCACACAAGGTTGCTACAATATCAAGTTTATTATAGTGATTTTCTTAGCCGCGTATGACACAGATCGTTACCCATTGTTGCCACAAGCTTATTTTTCATCGGGTTAGATTATCACGAGATAGCGGGGTTAAATTGTTTTACAAAGGGGTAGATCTGTCCCGAATTATTGAAGGGACGTATCCGCCACATTTTTAATAATTATCTTAAACCTCAGTTAATTTACTTTACTTCAAAAACGTAATAAAAGATAAACGAATCCTGAACTCTCTAACAATATCGAAGCGAAAACGCCAATATCCACCGGCCCAGGCCGAAATCGCTAACTTAAATTTAATTTAGCGAACAACTGTTGGTCCCGTATCCCCTTCAATCCATCAAAGAAACATTACCATGAATTAATGATAAGTTTATTTTTCTTCGGCTGACCTGCTCCATCGGAAAAGCGGTAGCAAAAAGCCGCCCAAACTCGGCAGCAGCGGAATTTTCCGCAAAGATAACAAAAAGCCAGATTGAGCAAATGTCTGACGGAATTAAATGAAATCGAGCAGACTAGGAGATCTGGCAGTTTGCGGTATCTTGTACGACGTACGCCGGAATTAAGGCCTTAGATTAAAAATACGAGCGGGATAAGGAGAGGGCGACCGGGTCGACTGGCTGAAACACTCTTTTAAATTGATTCGGGGCCACTGAACTGTATAGGGTGAGTTAGTAACAAAGATGTACAAGATACCTCATAAAAAGTATCTAAAATACAAGTTATGAGATACTTTCAAGCAAAGTATTTGAGATATCAGATACAAGATACTTTTGTATTATGAAATTATTGGGCAAACCTACAGTAAGTTTAGCCATGAAGCATGATTAACATATGACTACCCGTAGACACTTAGTGTTTCTGCCTTCCGGCTTCATCAATACGGGGGAAATCAGCAACGATAAACTAGTGATCCTGATTAAAAAAAAGGGAAGCAAACGAGGCACGAGGCACCGTTTGCAACTTGGTTTAGACCCTCACAATTCGCAAACGTTACAATTCGTGAGCTACTGCTATTCCTCCCGTATTGATGAAGCCGGAACGGCAAAAACACTAAGTGTCTACGAGTAGTCATATGTTAATAAAATTGTGTAGGCTTTCACGGCCGGTATTATGACTAATAACGATTTTGCGGGCTGTTAGGCCATGGTCAAGAGTGGTTGGCTCCATAGCTTTCGACTAGTCTTCTAGACTTCTTTTCTGTGGCAGTCTTCATCAGTGGCGTAGAGGTCGAGGGAGAAGTGAACGACTCGATGACTGGACTGGTACTGATACGGAGGGGAGTCGTTGCAAAGTAATGATTCCCTGTTGAAAGGACTTCCATATTATTGAACAGAATTGATGATCAGAAACAGAAAATGATGATCTTCCTGTGTTATTGTGTGTTCGGCCAGGGGTGGTTTCTCTGTTTGTCCGAGACGGCAAGATCTTTTGTGCTCAGTCAAACGTGTATTAATATTACGTTTCGTAGTACCAACATATACTGAGCCACAAGGACACGGAATTCTATAGACCCCAGCGGAGGAGAGTGGATCTCGTGGGTCTTTAGCCGAGCGGAGATGTTCTTGTATCTTTCGAGTGGGTTTGAGGATCGGTTTTATGTTCCTCTTTCTTAATAATTTTCCAATGCGGTCAGTAACCCCTCTGATGTATGAAAGAAATGCTACCCCACTGGGAGGTGTATTTTCTCCCTCTTGCCTTTCAACAGGTCTCCTAGGTCTTATGGCTCGTCTGATCGTCTGCTCTCGGTATCCATTGGCTTGTAAGGCTCTGTCTAGGTGTTCTAATCCGTCATTGATGTGTAGAGGTTCACAGATTCGGCGGGCTCTGTAAACAAGTGTTTTTATAACCCCTCTTTTTTGACCGGGATGGTGATTTGAATTATTGAGCAGGTAGCGATCGGTATGGGTGTTTTTCCGATACACCTTGTGTCCCAAGCTTAGGTCTTGTCGTCTGTTGACTAGTACATCCAAGAAAGCCAGCTGTGTGTCCTTCTCTATTTCCATCGTAAATTGGATCTTGGGGTGTATGTTATTTAGATGTTGGAGGAAAAGATTAAGTTCGTCTATTCCGTGTTTCCAAATTACGAAGGTATCGTCCACATAGCGCAGCCAGCAACTGGGTCTTTTTGTTGCAGTTCTAAGTGCTGTTTCCTCAAATGCCTCCATATAAAAATTGGCTATTACAGGGCTCAATGGGCTGCCCATCGCCACACCATCTTTTTGCTCATAAAATATATTATTTTACTGGAAATATGTTGTATATGATAAAACAGAAATAAAACGTCCCGTCACCAGCGATCACAAGCAAACCACGTCCCCTGCACACCGCCTGGGCCAAGATGCTATAAAAGGCGCGCAACACCTCCCCTCCGTATCAGTACCAGTCCAGTCGACCTCTACGCTCTGATGAAGACTGCCGCAGATGCAGTCGAAAGCTATGGAGCCAACCACTCTTGACCACGGCCTAACAGCCCGCAAAACCGTTATTAGTCAGTCATATGTTAGTCATTAATCTTACTGTAGGTTTGTCCAATAATTTCATTCTCTTTTTTATTACAGTCCCCACGATAACATCTTTTGTTTATTGTTTTCTCTGGGCCAAGGTGATAGCGGCGAGGTATGTTGGAGTACCTCAGCAGCGGTTTTTCAGTGGTAACGCTCGCGAATTGTGAGCTACTGCTAAACCAAGTTGCAAATGGTGCCTCGTGCCTCGTTTGCTTCCCTTTTTCTTTTTTCAGAATCATTAGTTCATCGTTGCTGATTCCTCCCGTATTGATGAAGCCGGAAGGCAAAAACACCAAGTGTCTACGGGTAGTCATATGTTAGTCATGCTTCATGGCTGATTTTACTATGGGTTTGCCCAATAATTTCATTCTCTTCTTTATTACAGTCCACACGATAACATCTTTTGTTTATACCTTATAAAAATATTAATTTTATTTTGAACTTTTCTTTCAAAAAAAGACCATGTGCACAAATTAAATTAATTAAAATTTATTTTCCAATTAATTTTCATTTCCATAACTGTAGAAATATTTTGCAAAATAAATTTAGTTGAACTTTGCAGTTATGTATATCAAAATTTAATTAAATTAACATATTTATCTTAGTTCATTATTTGGATTATTGCAAATAATGAAACAATTTTAAATCAAATATCAGCGGACAATATATGTTTATTAACTTATGCATTTGGATTTTAATAATTAAATTGTACCAAATTGAGCTGCCAGTAATATATTTAATTTCTATTTATAACGTTCCACTAAACTCAAAAACGTGTTGATATTATTGCTATTATAGAGAAAATGTTTTGATTAAAAATAGTTTAACGTAAATATTTTATATCGGGTGTTTCTCAAAAGTGTCTCAACCCCCATAACTTTTTTTATTCTTTCAGATAAAATATCGATATTTGGTATGCACACACAGGGCCAAAATTATTGCATATATCGTTTGAAAATATACGGAAAGGAATTTAAAGAATCTTTTTTATACATAGCTTTGATAATCTGTAATAAACATTTTTTTGTTAAAATGGATATGGTAAACAATGTTTATCGTTCAGACCCAATATTATTACAAATTCTTGCACATTTCGATTTGTGGTCTCTTGGGTTTCAAAAGAAATTTCACCATTGTTTTGGCCTTAAAATATCTAGAAACATTATTCCGTTTAATAGAGTCAGAATAGTAACACTATCTCAACAGGGCTACCGGCAAGTTGCAATAGCTGAAATTGTAGGAGTTAAACAAAGCGATGTTTCGCGAATATTAAAAAAAATCAGGGAGACAAACGAGGTTACAGACCGGCCTGGAAGAGGTAGAAAGAGAATTACTACTGCTGTGCAAGACCGTCAAATATCCCTAATTGCACGACGCAATCCCCTGTTTCTAGTACTGCTATTAAAAATGAGTTAGCTCGCCTTGAAGGAGTAAATGTTTGAAGAAAGACCATAGCAAGAAGACTCCATCACAGACGATTACATTTAAGGAGGCCTCTACGTGTTCCGAAGCTTAATTTACAGCACAAAATTACGCAACTACAATGGGCTGAGGAGATGAGAGCAAATGGACCTAATTGGAATTTCGTCATGTTTAGTGATGAAACAAGAATAGACCTAGTGTCAGACTCGCGACGAACTTTGGTCTAGAGAGCATCTTGAAGACGAGCACGCTTGAATGCAGCTCAACCCCGTGTCCCGTTTCAAGGGGGAAGCATTATGGTATGGGCAGGTATAATGCACGGAGCTCGAACTCCTCTTGTTTTAATTGATGGCACAATGACAGGTGCCTCATATCTTAGAGACGTTTTAGAGCCTATTGTGCGTCCATTTCGAGAGGCAGTGGGGGATGATTGTTTACATGAACGATAATGCTCCTCCCCATCGCACTTTAACGGTTCGCGAATTTTCTGAGGAAGAGGGTATAAGAAAACTATGATGGCCACCGATGTGTCCAGATATGAATTTGATCGAGCATGCTTGGGACATGCTAAAACGTCATATTGCCAAAAGGAATGATCCCCCGTACCTTAAATGAATTGAAAATTGCTGCGCGCGAAACATGGGAAGCCATTCCTCAACATTTTCTGAACAACTTAATCGAGAGCATGCCACGTCGCGGCGTCGTCTAACAGCTTGCATTGAGGCTCGAGGAGGCAATACAGACTATTATTTGTGAGAAATAATTAAAATCGTTTTCAATATTTTCTGTTTAAAATGAAATTTGTTTTTTTATGTGTGTATGTCGCAGGCGTATCGAATAACTCGGTATTTTGCAAAAAACGTTTTCAACAATAGAAGGATATTTTGTAAAGAGCCTATCTGTTTTCAGTCACTTTACAAAATGCCTAATGAAGACTAGTCAGATTGCACAAAACAGTTTACGCGGGATTAGTAAAACTAACCCAAATTTATCTAATGACATTTCTTGAACTTCTCTTTCAAAATTAGAAAATAATGGCACAAAAAGTGATAATTCTGTTAAATAGAGTATGGTTAAGGACGATTATTATAAAGATCTAAATTCATTTTATTCTAGAAGAATAAAAGTTCCAAAAAAAACTGCACAAAGAGGTAGCCCTGTACACAGAATCTAATTACAGAGTATATTAATTAAACGAGATATTAAGATTTTAATATATTTTGTATTTAAAATTATGTTACTTAGGCGCGGTCTCTTCAGTTATAAATAAATAACTTTTATCTAACAAATAACCATCTAAAAGATAAACAATCTAGAGCCTGATATCTATAGGATATCACATTTGGGTATTTTCATACAAAATAATCCAATAGAAGGTACATAGTGCAAGAAATTAAACTAAAATTGTAACACAAAAGAAATAAAAGCAAATGTGAGTTGAATAACAGGTTTTATAAGGTTCCTGTTATAATATTAATGAATTAAGATATGCGAATTAAAAATGAAATAAATAGTTTGATTTAAAAAGTTTTATTTATTTTTTACCTACTTTAGAGCTTTATTAAAAACTAGTTGAAGCCTGGCGCATCCGCCACGAGATCAGAAAAAAAAATACTTTTTATTTTTTTTAATTAAATGAAAAACAAAAAATCCGGCGACGGCAGTTTTTAGAAGAGCCATCTAGCTATCTTTTAGTAAAAAAAGCAACTTGCTAGAGCAAGTCGTTACTTCAGTAGAGACGACACAGATAAACATTAGCATTTTATATAATATGTAGTAATGGTTTATAATTGAAAGGATTTAAATAAAATAATTTATAAATTACTGTTTTATCACTTATTATCCTAACTGAATGCATTCTCTTCGTTCTGATGCTCTAACAAAACAGAGACTCTTTATTTTGTAACAGTCCTTATAAACTCCGGCACTAGCAACAATAGTTTTTTGCACCATTTCAATGTGTTTATTGGTGTTTATACCCCATACGTTCTAAAATGATTATAGCCTACATACTCAGAATAGGTAAGTCTTTTCCAAATAATCTAAAATCCAATTTATTGGAATAAACGAAATCTTCAATAATAACAATGTCTTGGTTATGTTAAGCAATTTTGTCAATTATCAAATAAAATCGATATATCCTCATGCCTTTGCTCATGCGTCAAACTTTTATCCGACAAATAAAGCACTATTTGGCAGTTCGGGCGCCAGATAGGATATCTGGGAGATAAGTTTAATTTATCTAATAGATACTGTTATCTATAGGTGAAGATACGCGTTTTTCTGCTATCCGTCGAATAAAATATATCTGGCAGATTATAACACGCCATCCGTACCTGAAAACACCGGGGGTAAAATTATAATTTATAAAATGGGGTTTAAGTTTTTTTCGTCTAAACAAAATAAAATGTTTATATAAATTATTGTTTTTGTATAGGAAAATATGGGGTATTTTTATTAAAGAGTAAATTATTCAATATGCTTATGCTCATAGCTGAGTAAATTTTGATCATTCATCTGCCTGGCCTCGATTTGGCATTTTGTAAAACGACTGAAAACTGGCAGTCTTTTTGCAAGACTACAGAAAATATCGTCATTGTTTAATATGCCTAATTCTGATTAGGCTTTTTGCAAAGTGACTGAAAATAGATGGGCACTTTGCAAAATATTCTTCTATTGTTAAAAAAGCCGGCTTTTTTTAATATGCCGAGTCTTTTTGCAAAAATCCGGATTATTATTCTATATAACTGCGACATATATTATTGATTGACGTATTCAGTTAGTTTCGATCACTTCCTGTTTCATCAAAAATGACGTAGTTAGAGGAAAGACGAAGAACATTTTAATCTAAGTAGTTTTTTGAACAGGTGGAAGTTGGGTGATTATTGTTTTTATAATTTAATGGTAAGTATATTATACTAATTATGTTTATAAGCAGTTTCTGTAAATATAAAGCCAGCTCCCTTAGAAAACACAATATCCAATATAATTGTTCCATGATCTCTCTATATTAACATATTTCTAAGTATTATTTATTCTTTCAGACTCTGTTTCGGAGGACAAATTTAATAGAGGACTGGAATAGAGGACTCTATACATCCATAGTCTCTAAGTTGGTAAGTTGGCTGTTTTGATTAGATACCTTTTTCTTGCATGTTTTTATTTATTTTGTATCGAATAGCAATTTTATGTTCCTATTTTGGTTAGGAGCAGGTTAACAATTTATCTTAGATAGGAACTATCGAAAACAGGAAATTACCATCCTATCCGATAGTCAT